TGACCATCAACGAATCCTCACACAGAAGAGACGTCCGTCTCTAAAAGCTGCAGCTTTTGCGGCTAAAAATATCGGTGATAAGGGTGATAGGTCCGAGAGGAGTGATTGAGAAAATCGGCCATATGGGCCGAGGACTAATGATGGTAAACCGCTATGTGTACCTTTTGGGAAGAACAGACATTTTAAAGCAACTTGTTATGAGATCATCGGATGATCGAGTTGCAATGGTGGTGACAAACCTGAAAAGGGTGAAAGGAAGCTACGCCCGCAAGATGAGCGAGCTCCCAGAGCTCCCACCGCTGAAGTGGAAGCCAGTCCGGTCACCGGCTTCACCACCACTCAGCTCAAACAGCTTCAGATGTTTTTTGGTTCGTCTAAACCAATGGACGACCCAGCAGCTCAAATGGCAGGTACGTTCCTTGGTTGACGTGAATGGTTAATAGATTCTGGCTGTAATGAACAAATCACTAAGGATGAGTCTTTGTTTAGTACGAAGTTGTTAGCAGAATGTAGTTAGCCAGTAAAAATTCTGAATGGAGATTATGTTCCAGTTAAGAGCATTGGTTCCATACAATTGAATTCGGAAATCAAGTTGGAGTGCGTGCTCCTTGTGCCTAAATTCAAGCGTAATTTGTTATCTGTCAGCAGGCTAACCAAGGATAATAATGTTGCGATTATTTTCCTCCATGATATGTGTATTCTCCAGGACTTACAATCCAAGAACGTGATTGGGAGGGGGATTCTCCGTGATGGAGTTTTATTTCTTGAAGATGTTTGGTGATCAAGAACGGTTGGCTCTTGCTGCAGATGGTTGTCATAAACTTGTAGAGTCGGTGTGGCACTCGCAGTTGGGACGCCTGTCTTCTGGAAAACTATCTCAACTTTGTCCAGTTATCTCTTTTTCGGCAGTCAAAGACAAAATTCCATGTCATTCATGTTTTCAGGCTAAACAGAGTAGTACTCCTTTTCTGCACAGTTCCATTAAGACGACATGTTGTTTCGAGTTGATTCATGTAGACATATGGGTGCCTCTTGTACGCCAAGGATACTCATGGGGGACTCACAAAATTTGCTGACCGGGGGTGTGCTGGCATTTTGTTGGGTTATGCAGTCACTCAGAAGGGATATCGATTTTATGATTTACTCTGGCAGAAGATACTAGTTTCTCGTGACGTAGTTTTTCATGAGGACTATTTTCCATTTCATGTGCAAGACCCACGTGAGTTTCATTGGCTACCTCAATCTGTGGCTATGGACTTATGTGATAATCATGAAGCTTCAGGAATTGAGTCTGCTGGTTTCACAATCTCCACAATTCTTGGGAGATCCCAGTGCAGCTCCTGCCTCCCCAGCACCGATCAGCAGTCCCGCAGAGCAGGGCACTAGGGCTCCTGGTGATGATTCTCATCCATCACCGTCGCGTCAGTATTCTCTGTCATCTTCGAGTATCACTCTTCCTACTCCGCAGACACCCTTGCCAGTTCCCGCAACACCTGTTGAACCTAAGTTGCGCCGAGGATTGCACAATCGTCATCCGCCCATGCATCTCGCTGATTATGAGAAAGATTTGACCCTGGCATCTCATGTTCGGTATCCTATCTCTCATCATGTCTCCTATGAGCAGGTCACCCCGAAATATAAAGCATTTCTAGCTTCCATTGCCCGAATCCAGGAACCACGTACATTCAAGGAGGCCATGCAACACGCGTGCTGGAGGGAAGCCATGGCCAAAGATATTTCAGCACATATGGGGAATGGCACTTGGCGACTTGAACATCTTCCTCCCGGTAAGCGTTGCATTGAGTCAAAATGGGTATTTAAGGTCAAATATTTTCCCGATGGTTCATTCGAATGGTATAAAGCATGGTTGGTTGCGAAAGGTTATACATAGATCGAGGGTGTGGACTTTCACGATACTTTTGCACCTATGGCCAAGCTGGTCAAGGTTCATTGTTTATAGGCAGTGCCAGTTAGCCAGGGTTGGTATTTACATCAACTTGATGTCAACAATGCATTTTTTCATGGTGATTTGTGTGAAGAAGTCTACATGAAGGTTCCACCTGGCTTTGCAGCTGAAGGTGATCGCGTGTTTGGCGTCTACAAAAATCTATCAATGGTTTACGACAAACATCCAGAAATTGGTACAAAAAATTCACTGTCTCTCTTGGTCATCTCGACTTCCATGCTTCGCCCGCCGATCATTCTCTCTTCATTTACAAGAAAGGTTCCATGTTTGTTACGACTCTTATTTACTTGACGAAGAAGCTATCGAAGTTGGAAAGAAAAAGGGCAGAATTTGGCTAAGTCAAAATCCTTGTTCAGGGTACCTACTTTGGAAGCTTGTATCTCACAAATGGCTCAATGGAAATGGGAGGTTAATGGCTTCTTTTAAAGATAAGGTTGCCATGTTTCCAATGGTATGAATTTTGGATCCAGAAGATGTCATTAAGGTTTTTTTCCAAGGCCTCAAAGTTTCTACCTCAAAACTGGAAAACTGTCTGAAAATGGCTAAGGCAAAAAACTGTTTTGTGAAGCCTACTTTGTAGCTTAATTCTAGAAGTATGGATCTGATTCTAGTCCAAAGGCTTCCAAAAAATGAAACTAGGTATGTTTGTGAACAAAGGGAAGGAATTGGATGAAAGATTGGAGTTTGGTAAGGCCTCGAACGAAAGGCGTGAAGTTAGTACGAAAGCTGCTTTTGACGGTTTTGCTGGCAGCTTACTTGTGCTTGAAGAAAGAGAGTTTATGGCCGAATTTCGAGTCCTTTTTAGAGTTTGTTTTTACCATTAGGTTTGTATTAGGTTTTTATTACCTTTAAATAACTTTAAATTTCACATGGTAAAGAATCCAGAGTTGAGTTGAATAAAAATTACTCCTACGTGAGTTTTTGAGTCTTTGAGTTGTGTCTCAAGAATCAAATCCTTGAGTTATTTTTGTGAGGATTTCATTTCTAATTCGAGAACCCTTGTGAGGCTTTTCTTTGAGGATTCCAGATTTGTTTTACAAGTTTCTTATCAATCAAGTAATCACCTTGATTGTGGCGAAATTCTACCTATCCGTTTTATCTTTCGTTGAAGAGTTCCGAGCTGCGTATTCTGATCAAACAAAGCACCCCCTGGTGCTTTATCAGGCGGTTACTTTATCTCAAAGTTTCTTAACCGAATATTGCCTATGGGGTTAACATCCTCATTCGTTTTGTTCATGCTCCCACTCAGGCACACATGGATGCTGCTAAGTGCATCCTGAGGTATCTAAAGACATCTCCTGGTCAAGGCCTTTATTTTCCAGCTCGAAGTTCCCTTGAGCTTGTCACCCACTGTGACGCCGATTGGGGTGGATGCCAGTCTACTCGTCGGTATACTACGGGTTTCTACATCTTGCTTGGCTCCGCACCCATCTATTGGCGGACTAAGCGCCAAAAGTTTGTCGGTCGTTCTTCTGCAGAAGCAGAATATCATTCCATGGCTAGTACGGTTAGTGAACTCATTTGGATTCGTTGGTTACTTCATGAGTTAGGGGTGCCCCAGTCGGGTCCTACTCGTCTCTACTGCGACAATCAGGCAACACTTTCACATTGCTGCTAGTCCATTTTTCCATTAGCACACCAAGCACGTTAAAATGGAATGTTATTTCGTGCGTGAGCATTTTGTCTTCTGTGACATCCTCCCCCTGAAGGTTAGTTCCGAGCATCAGATTGCATATCTTTCACGAGGAGGAGCAGCGGCCCAAGTCATCAGTCCTGCCCATCTCAACATGTGTTGTCCATCCGTGCATGACCAGGATTGTCCCTTCTCCTATTCGTGTACAGCTAGGGCAAGAAAACAAAGGCTATATAATGTTGATGTAGGCCGAATGGCCATTGTAACAGTTTGCAGTGAATAATTTCATCAAAGATGGAGAGGCTGATCTCTCCCATGGATTAGTCCTGACAAATCACCAGGGATACCACGTAAAAATCTACTGTCTCTTTCGTTTTATTCTCAATTTTACAGGAGCCGGAGGTGATCCTTTTGGCTGAAAAAAACATATTAGGAGTTGGGACTCTCAAATACTAATCTTAACTGTACATCAGATATGCTATTTGTATTCACTTAATTGGATTGTACTCCATTGAAAAAAAATATCTTCAATTCAATTCGAATTTTATTGTACCGATACAATATATCAATTGTGATCTACATAATGATATATATTTTGATGTGTTTGAGAAAAATTTGTTTAGAGTCACACGAAGTACACTGCGAGGATCGTATCAATGGATTGTAAGAAGTGTACTACAAAAGAATTTAAAGACGACATCAGGATCGTGACAAAATAAGCATCGAGTTTAGCGGAGTGGCAAAAAAAAAAAACCTAGCGTTCGTGCGGCGAGTTAAGGCTTCTGATGGCGCCGAGCAAGAGTACGAAGCGACCTAATCCCATGAGTGGTAGCCGACGACCTGCGGAAGTCTCCTCTTCACCGAACAACAAGCGAGAAAGGGAGACTATCAAGACAAGAAAAAGTCCGACCTCTTAATTTTGAGTATAAAGGAGAGATCAAGGACATCACAACGGAGGAGATGGAGGCAGAGTCAACTCAACCCCCGATGATGTATGAGAATGGCAAGACTAGAGATAGAGCCAGGTCGGCAGGTAAATGGGAATTTATCAGTGAGGTCGTCCAACAAGACAACTGGTACATAGCGGACTCTGAGTTAGAGGATGTGTCACAAGCGGTAAAGGAGGAGGATGATACCCCAGACGAGATGGAGAATGAGCCATTGTTTACGACAGTGTTGTTCACGGCAGCAGAAAAGATACAATGGAGGAGGGAGTGGAGATCGGCCCTTGTGGTAAGGGGGTTGGGATGGAGAGTCTCATATATCCCGCTCGCTAGAAGATTAAACTACCTCTAGGCGAGGCATGGTGAACTACAAATTTCGGATATTAAGAATGGTTGTTTCCTCGTTCGGTTTCTTCAAAAGGAAGGCTATGACATAGCCGTGAATGGGGGGCCTTGGATGCTGGGTGATACATACTTGACGGTGATGAGGTGGTATAAGAGTTTTAACCCATGGAAATCGGTTGTGAAGTCTACTTTGGTGTGGGTACAACTACCTGACCTACCGATAGAATTCATCAATAATGAAGCTGCTATGAAGATAGGGGTGATGATTGGACATTCTGTATGGGTTGATAGAGCAACTGAAATAGGGGCAAGAGGCAACTATGCTAGAGTGTGTGTTGAGGTAGACTTGACGAGACCATTATTGTCACGATACAAAGTTGAAGGGGTCGAATACCTTATTCAGTATGAGGGGATTGAGAATATTTGCATGGATTGCAGACAGTATGAAAACACTACAAGTAGGTGCCCATGCAAGAAAATGGAGGAAGAAGTACGAGTCCCCTAAGATAGTAGATACGATACCAGAAACATAAGAGGTGGAACAGTCGAAAGAGCCAACCTATGTGCCTTGGATCATGGTGAAACGAAGGGAGAGAGAACCTAATAAGAGGGGGAAGTAAAATGGTAACAGGGGAGAGAGTCCACATGGACCTCTAAAGAACTTGGAGGGGCAGAATCGCTTTGCGGCATTCACAAATGCTGATTGCAATGACAACCTGAAGGTCTCATCCTCATCCTGAGCAAAATGGGTAATTTGCTTCTGCAGGTCAGCTGTCTTGGATGGAGGATGGTAGCGGGTGAGGAACTTGTCCGCCAGGTTGGCGAACGTGGTGATAGAGCCTGGAGGTCGAATGTCTAGCCACTCCTTGGCTTGCCCCTCCAGAGTGAACGGGAAGTACCTCAGCTGGATGGCATCTGCTGGTACCCCATTGATCTTGATTCCATCGATGAGCTCATGGAATCGCCTGAGATGTGATCGGGGGCACTCCCCCTCCTTACCACGGAACACTACTGAAGCGCGCAGCATGGTGATTACTGAGGTGCTCACCTCAAAATTGTTGGCTGGGACATGAGGGTGTTGAATGGGTGACCTCATATCCGCAACTCTAGAGGTCCAGTAGGATCCCATGGTCTGCTCCTCTAGATTGATCACATCATGGTTTTGTGGATCAGCCATCTCTTCTTCTTCTTCGATCTGCAGTTGTGATAGCGCCTCCTCCGCAGCCAGTCGTGCCTTTAGAGCCCGCTTGAAGTTCCTGCAGGTTCGTTCAAGCTCCTAGTCTAATGGTAGTAGTTCTCCCGACTGGCTACGGGTCATGCACTACCTGCACACAATCAGCAGAAGCAACCCGTGAAGGCACACAGGTGGAAGAGATAAAATGCAATAAATAAAAAGCTAGAGTAACAAATTCTCACGTTTCCCCAATAACCTAGAGGGTCCCCGGCAACGGCGCCAAAAACTTGACACGCCAAAACACAACACCAAACTGCGACCAAGTGTAATCGCAGTCCGGGAATGCAGTAACAGGCAAGTTCTATTATCAACCCGGGGTCTAGATCTACTGCTTACTCAGTGATTATTTATTATTTAGCCAACTAAGTCGAGTGATTTGTGTTTAAACTAAAAGCAGTAAGAAAGTAGGAAATGGTTCGGTTTTCAAAAGCAGGAAAGAGTCACTCGGGAATGAGTCCCCCTAGCTCCTTAGTTAGGTTCAATTGTAATTACCCTGGGTTGATTTACTATTGATTAGACTGTGGAAGATCCGACAGTAGCTTGGAATCTCTTGAGCTGACCAAGCCCTCTCAGTCTAACTACCCGGCAGACGACTAGTCTTCACCGGGATAGAAAGCTGAAGCAATAAGCACAGAACTCCACTACTGGAATTGAATTCCAGTACGAAGCAGTAAACTGGCTAACTCTCATATAACCAATCTCCTACTATCGAATGAAGAGGCTCTAACAACCTAATCAGATTCTATCTATCTCAGGTTGCAGCAGAAATCGAGAAAAGCTGACCAGACTTCAATCAATTCAATAAACATGCATCATTCGATTAAAACCAAACAGTATAATCATCCCAAGTCATTACAATCAAATCCCTAACACCAGGAACTAGGGTTCTTCATACCCAAGTGAGAGAAGGGTTCTACTCTATAGAGAGAGAGAAGAAAACAGTAATCAGAGTAGTCATACTCAAATGATGAGGAAAATCTGCTCCGGGATGATGATTTCCACTCCTATGACGATCTCCAAGCTCGATTTGACAAAACCCAGCTCCAAGATAGCTTCTAGGATGTGTTCTTCTTACTTTCTCTCTCTAGGGCTATGTTTTTGCTCTGAAAATCCCATTCTCTCCCTTTTGGCTCGAAATTGGCTGAAAAACCAAGATTTCCCGACTCACACGGGCAGGCCACACGGCCGTGTGGCTCACCCAGTTGCCCATGTGAGTCAAAACGCAGCGTATCAATTAGTCGAAACTCAGGCTTCCCACACGGCCAGGGTCGCACGGCCGTGTGGATTTCCTGCTCTGCCCGTGTTTGCTCTCGGCAAAAATCACACGGCCACAATTGTAATTTGCACGGCCGTGTGATGTCCAGGACTGCCCGTGCGGCTTCCTTGGCACCTCGCCACGCGTCCGATCTTCGTCCAATCGACCCTAAACTCGCTCCCAAGCCTCCATTCACGTACTAGGACCTGAAATATCACAAACAAGCACAACCTAGCGTGAAATCGGCCTAAAACACGAGAATCAACACCTCAAACGGTGTAAGAGCAGGGGTAAAAACATGTGTAATTAACGGTCTATCACTCAGCAAGCCCATTGGCAGGATAAAAACAACAATGTAACAAGAAACATGAGAGAGGCCAATGAGAGGCAAAAGGAAATTACTAATGAAGGAATGGCGGCCAAGGCTCAGGGGGAATAAAGAGGACAAGAAATGCAAATAACCTGATGGTGACTGGAAAAGTAGGCAACAACCAACATTCGATACCATCCGCCGGGAAATTAAGTACCATGAACTCCAGGGGAAAATGAGAAAAGGAAGGAAAGGGTGGGAAGTTGAAGGAAGGAGAAGGTGAGATGAACGTTCAGAAGAAAAATGGCGCGAGGAGCCTATCCCCTTTGGGTCATAAATGAGGCTACTCAGTTATAACTGCCGCAGATTGGGAAGTAAGCGAGAAGTTAAAGCTTTGAAGTCGTTGTTGCGACACACTTCCCTTCAAGTGGTTTTATTAATGGAACCAAGCAAACAAAGGAAGAGAATGAAGTAACACAGAAAGAGTTAGGATTCGCTGGAGGAGGAGTTGGCCAACTGACACATCCCGTAATGGTCGGGCGGGGGGGCTTAGCTTGTGGTGGAAAGAGGAAGTTGATGTATCGGTCATGTTCTCATCGAACCATTGTATTGACTCAAAGATAGGGGGTGGTGGAGGAGTGTTCTGGAGGTTTACTGGTATATATGGATGGCCGGTGGCGAGTGAGAAAGGTAGCACATGGGCTCTCTTGAGAGATTTGGTAGCGCAATGGAGTTGCCCGTGGCTTTGTGGGGGAGATTTTAATGAGATATTATCGGGCGAGGTGAAGCGAGGCGGCCATGCTCGAGAAGAAAGGGAGATAATGGATTTCCATGAGTATCTTTTGGATACAAACCTTAGAGATATGGGTTTTGAAGGATATCAATTTACATGGGAGAATAGTAGACGCAATGAAGGATATATTTAGGAGAGACTGGACAGATTCACTGCATCGGAACAATGGATAGCTCTCTTCAGTAAGTTTCGGGTTAGACACCTAGATAGAACGAGATCCGATCATAGGCCTATCATCTATGATACAGAAGGCGACGAGGACGAGGAATCAAAGTGGGGGTGGAGTTTTCGTTTTGACCCATATTGGGCAAAACACGAAGAGAGTGCAAAGGTGGTGGACGAGGCGTGGAAGGATTCAGAGGTTCTGGGAGTGATGTGGGAGATAAATCATTTTTGAGTAAACCTTGATGGATGGAGCACCAAAACGTTTCCAAATTATGCATTGCGGAATACGAAAATACAAATAGCATTGAGAAAACTTGAAAGAATGCACCACTCTCGTACGACCCTGGAGCAAAGGTGGAAACTAGAGGAAGAGTTGGCCAAACTTGAAGATGACGAAGAGAGCTACTGGAAGCAGCACTTGAGATCATACTGCCTCAAGGACGGCAAAAAAAATACCAATTATTTTCATAAGAAGGCCACAGCCTGCCGCCAACAGAATACCATATGTAAACCGAGGGATGCTTCCGGAAAGTGGTACGTGGGTCTCGACTAATTGTTTGATTGCTTTAATACCTATTTTGGCGAGCACTTTTTGGCAAGGGAGCAACCAAGCTCTACTCCGGTCATGGACGTTATTCCGATGACAGTGACCCAGGCGGACAACGATAACCTGACGAGGGCGGTGGAAAAGGAGGTCTATAGTGCGTTGAAGCAGATGGGAAGGAGGAAGGAAACCGGTCCATACGGACTTTCAGTTGCTTTCTTACGGTCATATTGGGTCATAGTAGGAGAAGATATTAGCCGCACAGTGAAGGGAAATAATTGAGAAGATGGAGATGCCCTCTGAACTGAACAATCCCTCAAGGCTAAATTGCAAGTTTGGTCACTAGAATTACTAGTAAAATTCACGTTTGCCACTAAGGTTAATTTATTCCATCCTTAGTCACTTAAATTAGTTATATAATTCAAGTTTGGTCACTCTCCGTTAGTCTATGTTAACTTTATCTTACGTGCTAGTCAACTCAAAGAGTTGACCATTAAATAAGTGACGTGACCATTAAAAAATAATAAACAAAAATAAATTTTATCTTTTACAATTTTGACCACCGTATAACAATTAATTACAAAAAAACAAACAAATTAAATTGAATAAACCCAAGCATCAACTAACAAACAAATAAAACACTCCGATGCTCCCTTCTGATTGGCAACCAAAGCTTCACGCGAACAAAGTAAGATCTGGTGACTAAGGGGGGTCCCTTAGTCATGTGACTAAGTGAATCTTAGCCCTTCCACCTCATTAAAATCCAATGGTCCTGATTAATCCAATTTTTTTTTTTTTTTTTTGACAAAAGATAATCAATAGATTGAACCAAATAGATCATTACATCCTGGAATACAGCCAGGCCTGGAAATCAAAAGATCGACATGCAGTCGGGAACAAAGACAGGGCCTGTCTAGCTACCAAATGAGCTACCCTATTGTTTCTTCGACCTACAAATCGCACAGAGAACCCTAAGTTTGACGCAAACGAATTGACTATCTCCTCCAGAATTGCCCCGATGTGGTTGTCCCGAACATCTTTCCGGAGAACCTTCTCAATAATCACCTGGGCATCACCTTCAAACCGCACAATAGTTAATCCATTTGCCAAACACCAGCCAATCGCCTCTCGGAGAGCCAGAGCTTCCACCATCAAAGGGTCAGTAAGGAACGGGAGGTGAATCCCCTTGGCAAGGATGACTTCC